TTTGCACATAATATGTTCAGCATTTGGACAATCTAATTGGAATATAATATCTGAGCTCTCTTACTACAAAATAAAAAGCTTTTGGTATCTTTCTCTAATTGCAGATAATAAGTGGGTTAATAGTTTATTTACATACGTTAGTAGCTTCTTTGGTATACGAAGTGCCTTTACGTTTAGATTACAAACATAAGGAATTGCATCTCCACAGATTTAATACATAGACATCACTGAGTAGCAACTATAGCTATTTAAGAAACCCTCGCTTGCCGTAAAGGCCGAAAGATCTAATGGTATTTTTTCAAAATCTCTTCCGCGACGTGGGTACAGATTCTGCCTGCGATGAACTAAACTTGCAAGCTAGATATATGCTAGACATTATTTGCAGCGTTGATTAAGAAAATTTTCCGATAAAAAAGACTTACCATCTTCATTAAACTAACTCTGCGATATGTTTACAACAAGATTTGTGGGAAGTCATGCCGGCTGAATTGACCGAGACGAACGCAAAAAAAATTGACTAAGTCAGGACTTAGAGAACGAAAGATATTAAAAGTATGGTGACTGTTGTTCTGGATTTTACCCCCAATACAACGCTCTTTCGAATGTTAACTATTAACCAGTAAACGTGGCGAGGAGAATAACCCTAAGGATGATCTATAGATGAAAAAGGTCAACAAGGAAAGTTTTTCTTAACAGTTGCTGGGTTTGAAAATGGCAGAAGATGAATGTGCGCGGAAATATGTATGGAAATTTAACGCTATAGCAGAAAAAGTAGTGACAATCGGATTAAGCCTCCAAGAAGAGTTGCTCGTTATTTTAATTTGATTAGTCTTCCAAAGTCGATTGCGTTGGAATCGTGAGACGAATTGCCTGGTTTGAACATTAAATTAATTGAGAAGGAAGAGCGAAGCAACACATGCGCACCCACCAAATGAATCAAGCACCAGCGGCTAAGTGCGCATGGCTTAAGATACGATCGTCAAAAGCAAATATCATGTTATACACAAAAGCAACGAATATGTAGGTAGCACAAGCGTTAACAAGAAAAATGGCAATATGCGTGGATGGTGGGACAAAAGGTTTGAGCAGCATAATGATGACAACAGTAAAACTGAATTCTTTGCGGCAATAAATGAGAAGATTCTATCGTCAGATAGTTGGTTTGTTGACAGCTATGCATCATCTCACATATGTTGTAACCGAGATTTGGTCGAAGGGTTCGAAGAGTATAAGGACGCAATTGTCCTTGCAGGAGATTACAAGGCCAAAGGACATTATACAGTTAGTTACGAAGAAGTTTAAAGCCAAAGCATTGAGTCATTGTTATATTGTTCAGTTCATAAACGCAAAGAAGGTCATTGATTAGTTTCTGTTTAGTATCAACAGGCACAGATTTTTGCAAGCATAATCGTTCATTACACAATTTAATGACACAATTAAACAGTAAAATGACACAATCGTTACTGACACCTAAGGTTTGATTGTCCAAAAAATCGTCCCAGACGCAGTTAGTCCTAGGATTTCAAAATTAGCTGCCAATAGGTATTTCCTTTGCCCTTTGCATGAGAAGCAAATGCATTCAGAAATCATTCACTAGTTCAACAAATAAGCAAAATAAATAATCAAAATAGTTTATGTGGACATATGTGAATCTATGCCTGAAACGTCAATTGTGGTGCAAAATATATGCTTATTTCGATAGATCATAAATCTAGATTTGCATGCGCTTACTTTTTGTGAAGTAAAGATACCTTTGGGAAATTAAAAGATTTTTACCTGATGACTGACCGACAATCGAGAAGGAAATCGAAAATCCTCAAAAGTGACAACGGTGCAGTGTTTGTCAATAAACCAATTGGTTGTTACTTGAACCAAAATGGAATTTTGCGCCTATTAGCAGTGCCATTTACACCGCAACGGAATGGTATCGCAGAACGCTTTCATAAGATGTTAAGATGTATGCTGATTGATGGAGGAGGAGAGGATAATTATGTGCTGAAGCAGTTTACACGGCAGTAAATCTACATAATAGGGTATCAAGTAGAGCGCTAGCAGGAATAACGCCTCGCGATATACGGTATGACAGGAAAGGTGCAGCAGCACATTTAAAAATATCTGGCTTATGTCAATTGCTTTAGACAAACGTCAGCGAAATAAATTTAAATCACGCAGAACACGTTACGGTGGATTGTTCTAACACACTACTAGCACATGGATTGCTTGACAACGAAAGTACTTGGAACAAGCGCGGTTTGTAAGCCTAAAAAATTGTACAACTTGGGATGTTTGATGTGTTAAAACGATGTCTTAATTCCAGAAAAAAAACCAAAAGAAGCCTTGTGTATTGCGGGAAGCCATGCAACAAGAATACCAGGCGTTACTTAAAAATGATACATGGAAATTATCGGAGCTGCCTCAAAGACAACAAACAAGTGGATTTTTGACTTAGGGAAATATGAAAATATAGAGTGCTTCAAAGCAAAATTGCTAGCTAAGAAAAGGTTCCCAAGCCGCGAATGACATTTGCGATTGCGGTAAAATACGAATTGGGTCTTAACCAAATGGATGTCTGAAACTTAAGAAGTCGCTTTACGGATGGAAGCAATCTGGTTGCGCATGCAATTACAAATTAGACAGTATTTGGTAGCAAACTGGCTTGTAAAATTGAACCTAGCGTTTACACCGAAGACACTGACGCTGAAATAAGCATTGTTAATATATAAGTTGGCGTCGCACTTATAGCATGTTCCGCTAAGGGGACGGTGAACTGAGTCAAAAAATAGATGACAGGACAGATCAAAATGGTAGACAAAGGGTCTGTTCATCATTTTTTTTAATCTCCCGAAAAAACAAAATAAATGTTGATTTGATATAAAGTCTCTGTTTTCATATCTCATATATACTTTGTTCATAATAGTAAATTGACAACGAAATCAATCTTACCGAATTTGTATCACATAGGTGTACTTTTTGGCAACCACTAGAAATAAGGATTTTCAGAAAATATAAAACGACCTAATTGTTTACGTTTTCAACCTTCAATATACGGGTTTTCGTGAAAACTGTGCCTTTGCATGAAAAGAGTACGTATTTGGTGTATTATTTTCACAAAGGGTGAATAACTTTATTAAATGAAGTGGTGGAGGATATCTAACGGTCAGCCTTGCCCAAATATAATGTTTTTACTTGTCTATGGTTTCAAACTTTGCATAAGCCAAAATCCATTTGTGATTAAAGAAGAATTTTTGATTATTTCTTAAGAGGGCCCATGTGGTTATATTGGGTATACATTACCATTCGTTACGTTCCATGAAAAATTTAAAAGGAATTTGATCCTGATGGAGCAATAGATCTGTTTCAATTTCATTAACATGCTTATGCTATGTTATTAGAAGGAGACTTCTGGGTTTACTTCCAAATAAGACACATAATTAGTTTTTATTTGATTGTTCACTAGCACTTAGAGACTACGCGTTTGCATTTGATAGAGTAATATAACTAACCCTGCAAAGATCTTATTATAAAACGTGGGTTATGTTAAGTAAAATTTTGTCTGCAAGATTACGCTAAGCCTTGATTTCTGATATGTTTTTGTCATAAAATGCATGTCCCACATATTGTGACAAATTTGATTAAGTAAAATATGAATAATGTTGTTTCAATTATATATGCTTATAGAAGCGTCGGAAGGTAAGTTGATTCAAATCATCGTTTCTCTCGAAAAGACAACACATTGCCAAATATCTAAATAAAAAAATTTCAAAAAGGTAAACACGATCAATACAGAAAGATGTGCTTTAACCGATATTATGCTTTCGTTTATTGGGTTAACTGAAAAATCAAATTTTACAATGCGTCTTGCCAGGCTTAAAGAGCTGCTTATCGCTCGTAAGGTAAGATGTGGCCGTAATTATACGAATACTAATCAGCTAAAGGATTTACGAACTTCGTATTCGCCTGTTTTTGCATTTCATTTTGTGTCGGTTATTTATTTAATTTTTGTGTGAGTTTTTCAACAGACATAGTTGCGTAATAATGATTACTGGTTGGACGTCATGAAACCCATCAAATTATACAGTGAATGTCGCATAAAAAATTAAAGTCATGCTGACACTTTCCTTCATTAATCGTGGTATCTTCTGCCATGCCAACAAACTGTTGGCACGGAATATTTTTCGGGTGTTTAAAGGCGAGGAAGGCGACGAACTTGAGAGATTCAGAAGAATAAATAAAGGTTTTCCATTTTATAAACGAAATATCCTTATGTTTTGATCACAATGTTCTACCGAGCGTAAAACACTCGAAGCCGGTTTAGAGAAGTTTTAATACTGATTTGGCCTGGAAAAGTTTTTTTTACGTGCAAAATTTTGGAGTTGTATTCGCAACCTTAAATTGGTTAATGACACTGATAAGTAATATGATTACTTCACATGTTTTGACACGTTTTTGTCCGTCCTATATAGACGTTTGATGTATCCAATCTCATTGATCGAAACGCAATAGAAAACGTATATTATTAAGTCGGAGAAAATATTTTATGGCTTATTCTTAAATGAATTGAGTATTTTAGTAAATCAAACAACCTTACATCGGAACTTCAGGGTGCACAAACATAACTTAAACTGTAAAAAAGGATCTTAAACAATGGAACACTGAAAACTATCCTTTACCGTTCACGTAACTTTTAGTCCTCATGATACCTTACCTTGGAAGACAAGAGATAAATCAAATAAATCGAATAGATCTCCAACAAAGAATACCTGAGGAAAAACGATTTTTCTTTCTACACATACTCTTTCTCTTTCAATGGCATTAGTATCATCTACATTTCAATCCTAGATGAAACGTAGCCTTAATACCAGTTGCGCTTATTTAATATTCGTAATACTCGTCCGTACATCCGAACTAATGAAAGTTTTTGCTCTGCACCATATCGTTCGACAAATTAATTATCTTCAATAACGTTGAAATGAGCTGAATTTTTTCATATTTCCACTTACCTTTAAAAAACTTTTTCAAATATTTAAGCCGTTACAAATGCGAAATTTTCACTCCACACTGTGTTCCACTCTCTTTGGGAATTCAGAAGCACACCTCGTCCTCGGCAGTTTTCTTACTAATTAAGTAATTTTTGTAATTAAATATCGCTCGTCCTCACTTAGCTTTATTCCCTTTCATAGAAATTCGCCGTAATTTTCGTAAACCTTTCGTTACCCTGCATTAGTATAGTTATTTCCACTCTTATATCTCTGTGAACTTTATTCTCTATATTTCTTAAGTTTTGTTCTTGATCACATTTATGTTTTTAAAATTTCCTGTGTTGTAATTTTGTGTGTTCGTAAATATATACCTATAAGCACACGTAGTTATGTAAACATATATACATATTTTTTTCTTTAAATTCATATATTTTTTAATATTTTTCACTTGTTGGTTAAAAAGCAAAACATATTTGCAGCGCGTATTTTTTGTTTCTGGTAATCAAATATGTAATTGTGATGCTGTTACCGTTTATTGTAAAGATTTGGTGTGAACGACAAGAACTAACTTCACTATTTAATTGATGCCATGTGTTAGCATCAGACACAATCGCCTCATTAAATTCAAAGAGACTTGGACTCATAGCGTTTTTAGTCTTCTTTATATAGCTTCCGAAGAGCGGCGCTTTGGCATACCAAAGCAGCAGCAGAAACTACAATAACACCAGCGTCACTACTGGACATTAGTCAACTACGCGTTGTTCAGCAGCAGCATCGTCATCAGCTACCGAATAGAGAATCAGAATCAGCAAAAGCCAGCGACAAAGATATAAAAACAGAACCGCTGAGCTGAAACCGATAGCCGCGTTAATAAAAAAAACGGCAACAAAGCTCGCTACGTAACTGCAGACACGTACACATACAATGAAATAGAATTAACAGAAAGAACAACGATTCCAACGTAACGGATTTGAAGAATAAGAAAGGTAAGAACAAATGATGGTGGCAATGCTTTTACATTAAAAGACGTCAGTCTTGTCTAGCAAACAACAGCAACGGTGCTCTATACGCTGCACTGGCTTCCAAAGAGCGAAATTGCAATACTGGGATGGAGATAAACGAACGGTGTGGTGCACCAGACCAAAACAAAACGATCAAACAATTTACATCAGACTTGGACAAGTCAAATACTGTATAAGAACTGAGTAACTAACTGACATAATCAAACAAGAGCGTCTCTGCCGGCAACTGTGATACTAATAAAATGTGTTTGTTTTCTACTGCGCCGGTTTAGATTAAAATAATTTGCAAATTTTTGATCTTATTGTGTATATAAAGAATAAAAATGCACATACACACACACAACTTCAGTATATTATTCGAGGTTGAGGTTCGGTCTTTGTTGGTTTGGCTGATATTTTTCTCTTGAGCATGATCAAGCAAGCAAGCATTTGCGGCTGTACTCTGTAATACAATAGCATTTGAAATTGCGACGGTCAAGTTGAACACCAAAGCTTACTGCGAGGGTCTTTACAGCAAGTTTGCTATCGTAGCAAGCATATTCATTCATTCTGCCCTATACATGCATCACGGAACCAAGAGAGAGACTAAATGTAAATAAGGAAGTTTATAAGACTATTTTCCAATATGAAACCCGCGAATGTTGGCTTTTTTATATTTATTTTATTTATATACAATAACCGGCAAATTTTGTTATTCCCTCTTAGTTTTCAACTATCGTCTACACAGTTATATATATACATTATGTATGAACATACATATTCACAGATGAGAAATAAAGTAAAAATAATGAAAAAATTTTTCAAGTTAGAAGTGAGTTGGCTGGTCAGTTCTTACTGATTTCATACTACTTTTGGACGTTGGAGCCTCAACATACAAATATATGATCTTTAAAGCCGTTTATGCTTGGCTCGTTCTTGTCTTTGTTTCGATTGTCTTATTAGTTAGTTCTTCTTTTTTAATTTTAGTCCTTAGCATGTAGAAGTAGTTTCTTTTCGTTTTTGGTTTTATTGCTCTTGTGTGGTGAGAACTTTGGCTATATTCAAGTTCTTGGCCGCAGACAGGTTTGGCCTATTCGAGGTTGCTTTGTGCGATTGCCATCACGATGATATGGTGATGGGTATACTGTTTATTTCGATGCTGACTTCTTTCTATATTCACAAACAAAAACGACATCAATGCAAGTTAAACGTTTCTGTAGCATTCTCGTAATATATGCACGCAAGTATATGTCTACAGGTATTGATATTGAATGTAAGCATGTATGCATAGCATCTACGACGCGAGCATGCTTTTATTCATATATGTAAGAATTAAAACGAAAATTGTAGTGGATGTTGTGGAATTAATGCGCACTGCCAGGCATGCGTGAACGTATGTATCTATCTGTACTTTATGTAACATGAAATCACATAAGCAGACTTTTTATTTCTTTTATTGATGTAATAAATAAATAGCGGTAATGTAATTGAAATTTTCTTTATATAAATTAGAAAAAGAAAAATTTGGCATTTGGGTTATCCGCAAAGGAGCAACTGAGTCAACCGAACACAAATAAGTCTTTTCTCCTCAAATTTAATCTTCATGCGAAATTGCGAGCTACTTATTTTCATATTAATAAAAAAACATATTTAGGAGTCTATTTAATAACAGTTCTGTAGGCGCGCGTTACGATATTCATCCTTTTAATTTGTCAATAAGAAGACTTTCTTCTTAAGGGGATAGTTTGAGTAGAGATGATCACTGTTGTGCTGCTTCCATAAAATTGGATACGCCGAATAGGATATGGGCGAAAAAATTGCATTAAACTTGGTACAAAGGTTGAACTGTGCTTCTTAAGCTACTTCAGAATTGTAAGTGCCACTTTTAGGATTAACAGATAAGCAAGATTCTACAATTACCTTGAAAACACATTGCCACGGCCTTTCGGATCGTTAATGTTATATAATCTAGTTGCGAGATGACTGTGGAGTGAATTTTTTAAAGCGTTCCAAAATTTAAGCCGGATTAATTCGAAAAAGCAAGTTGAGCTTGAAGAAGTTGTCAAGTTTACTTTCATGCTGTCCGAGCTCTTTTGGTGTTGTGATTGAATTTATTAACATTATCACACAGTGTTGAGTGAACGCATATGTTCAACTTTTACAACATAGATTAAGTGCCTAACTTGAAATTGGTCCAACTTCTTTATTTGTTAAATGGCACTGCATGCCTTTTGAAACTTATGAGCAAAATAAAATTTTTTTTATGTTGAAAAAAACCAAAATATATTATATAACAGAAAACATGCCTCACAGGTGAGAAAGCAATTTCGCATGCAGCCCAAATAGTTTTCAGAATTTAGTTTATATTAATAACAACGCTATTGAAATACTAAGTTTTAGAGAAAAAGTTTACAAGACGTTTTTTTATGAGGTTGTTTTTTGAATGTAGGTACGTTGGATCACATATCTTTCATGAGCGTGGAACTAAAAAAATGGCGAGCTGGTTGAAGAAATCGAAGGAAAATAGTTTTTCACCGTATATTATTCTGCAAAAAAAAAAAACGGAAATAGCCCATTGGAGTTACTTTCATACTGCGCTTTTAAACCGAAATCTAAACGAATTTTCAACTGTAGAAGCCATTTGATAAATATATACTCCTGCTTCTAGGCTCTTTCGCTGATCAGGCCGGTTCCACTTTTGTATATTTTAAAGATTATGTACTTTATCAGTTAGATTTTAATTCTGAGTCCATCAAAGTACGTTCGTTAGAGTTATTTAAAAGTTAAACGTGTTTATACATTTTCTCAGTAATTTGCTACGGAAAAAATATGACACATAAATCTTATATAAAAGTTAGTTTCCACAAGTTCGGAAACATCAGCAATTAAGAAATATGAAATGCTTTTTCTGCAATGAATGTTTAATTAACTATTAAACTCCGGCACTAAACGAGGGAAATGGAGGAGAGCAATAACTAATATATACAATGATTTGTTCAAATCGTCCAAACTTTGGGTGCATAAGCCTTCATAAGCCACTAGACGATATCAATAATTTGGCCTTGGGAAAGTGTCACAACTTTTGCTCAGTTTAAAATAAGAGAAAGAACGCGCCTCCGAACGCGAATCTCCTACCGAATAAAAATTTCAAACTTAATATGCATGAACAAAGACGGATGCTCATTACCTTTCGGCAAGCCTACACGTACTTCAAGTGGAAATTTTCGATTTTCGTAGACACGGAAAAGTGTGATGAACAATTTGCTTTGTTATTGCACTAAAAAAAGCTGACTATTAGCGACTTCTCCTCGCATTGCGTTGATTTTGATATTTATCACAGGGAATACAATTTTTTATCATAGGTAAAATTAAATGAAAATTTAAATATTTAAATCCTTGATAACAAACAAGTTTCCACGTGTCTATATTCAAAGAGCAAAGTGGAAAAGTTCATCAGTAATAACGAGCATCTAGCGTTCAAAATGTTGTACGTAGAAACAAACATAAATGCATGTAAGTCGTACAGGCAGGTATGTGCGGGGGTTCTAGCTTTATTCACCGTACGCCCCAACGCAACGTCTAATCAAAAACGACCTTACTCACTACACGTCTGTAGAAACAGCGGAATTATAAAAGATTCAGACATGTGTTTATATATAAGTGTATATATTTATCTGATTTTATGCATATAAGTATATATGCATGCCTGCGTGTATGTTGCATATACTAGTACGTGTTCGCGCACAATGCTCACGCACATATACCGAACGTATCTATAAAAATATTTATATATGAATAGATGCATGTACATACGCACTTTGGTAACGATAGGGTTGATTGTGATGTATTACACTGATACGCAGAATGTAACCGGTTTCTTTATTTTTAAGTTCAACACTGGATTTTGACCTTTAACGCGTAATTAAATTTTTGCAAAACATAGAACATTGAATTTCAACCAGTTATGTTTTTCTGGGAAAGTGTTTTTTATTTCATTTTGGTAAGTTTGAAAGAATTGAATAACTAATGATTTAATTATTTTATTGTATGTTGTAGTACCACTAAAAACTATTAAGAACATAGGGATGCAAATAGCTGCGAATTTAAATAGTTGGTATTTTTTTACATATTTTCTCAGATCTACTTTCTTTCACTTGATTATTACATTTTTTCTTTTTTTTCTTTAAACCGCTTTGAAATGTTTAAATACTGCAAATATTATTATTAGACTGTATACGAGCATATGTGCAGACTTAATGAATTTACCCCGAGCCGGCATCCTTTTTAGGACCATTCATCAGGCAGCCATAAATCCTTTTAAGTTGCACAGAGAGAGTCGATATCTTCTCTCATTGCGATGCTGTTAAAAGTACGCACGCGTCTTTCATACAATTCCAACTAACGGTTTGAATGGATTATGTTGTTATGTGAGTACTAAAGAAAAGAAAAACGTGACACAAATAAGTATGTATCGTCACATATGTGCAAATGTCTGTGAATTTCAGACATTTCGCGGCTCAGCTGCTCTTGTTAATTTCATTATTCCTAGAAAATGTGAATGTTATTCATTATACTTATGAATTTTAGTGTCCTCTATATCGCCTTGGAACGTCAGCATTTATTACATACATACAGTATACCATACACTAAATTACAGATAGTCCATAAAACGTAGAGTCCTCAGGAAACCATATTTCGTATTCGCGTATAAATCGCGTTCATATTTATGTTCGATAACATTGTTAAGTCTCTCTCTATTGTTACGCCCAATATTTTTCAGCATATACATATACATTTGCATTTAAATTTTTTCAAAATAATTGGTGCGAGAAATATGATCGTATAAAATGGAATAAATGCGTTCGTATATATATTTATGTCTATCTGCTAGATATAAATTTTGAAATGTGTGCAGACTTATACAGGGCTTCTTTGACAGCTGAACAGGATAGTCGAAGCGTTTTTTTTTTAATTGCAAAGATGTAATAGTATGAGTGAATGTTATCTTTTAGCTAGGTGATAATTTGTCGAGTATACACTGTACATAAGTGGATAAGCGGACTCAAAACTGTTATTTTCACATTTGTATGTGAAACAACAAAGTTTTACAAGTTTCTAATATGGCTACTATCGAGGAATATCTTTTCGTTCGTTTTATGATGTTGAAAAGTCTACGAACGCAAAATATTAGAGAGAAAATCACATTCCTGTACTCATACTCTTGGTTCGTTAAAAAAAACGGCCAAAATAGTGATAAAATTAAAGCAAGTGCGCAAATTATGTGCAAATTACAATGTTCCTCTACCAATATCTAGCAGTTGACTTGACTATTAATTGAAATTAATTGAATAACACACAAACTAATTTCACGTTTTCTACAATCTTGATTAGCTCTCGACAGCTATTCCGCCGCCTCTTTTGTCTCGTCGATCAGGTGGAAGACAGTTGACAAAAGGGTAATAAATCCTTGGGGTATCTGACAATCAAGTCTATAAAATTAAGCAAATATCTGTATTGTTATTAATTAAATAGTTAACTGGTTGAATAAATATATTACGAACACTGTTTGCGATCTAAAAACAAGCTAAGACTTGAAATTCTTCTCGTCCAGAATTACATTCTCTGAATTGAGTAATATCGTCAAAAGTGAGTTCAATTTATTGTCATCCAGAAAATAAACCTTTGCCATAAGTTATAGGAAGCTGTAGAGTTGAGCTGTTGGCTATAAGAGCTCGTAGGTGTACGCTTAGGCAAACTACGAGACAAGTTTTGTTTTCTGTTTTGATTTTGGTTGTAGATACGCATCCGTTAATTGCGTGCTTTCAAGCACAATTCCTTCACCTTTTCACCATATCCTTAGGTTTGACCACTATGATATTGAATCAACCTGTTTTGTAAAGAACATTTTTTGTTCGTTCTTTAAGTCAGCCAGTTAGACAGAGCCATTTCCAAAACTTACAACACCTAGAGGCGTATAGGTATCATAGAGTCTTGTGAATTTTTTAACTTCAGCTTGCTAAGCCCTGCGATGGAATATCAGAATGTAATGTACTGTGTAGGATTTTTTTTTATTTTCAATTCCGAAAAGAATTATTTTAAACAAGCGGTTTGATTCATGGTTGATTCGTGAAAAATTGCTAATTGTTCGAGGATAACAAATTTTTGATTTTCTCGAAAGCAGTTAAGTCATCGCAAAGAGCCTTCGAGGGCATTGAAATTGTTTGCTTACGATATTTTAGGTCTTAATTAAATTCTAGCAATAAGTGCGTGAACATGATATTCAATTCCAGAACTTTGAACCATGACAATGATTTTCAGTTTCATCTACTGAGCGCTTGTAACATGGTGAAAAAGTTGAGTGAAAAGAAGAGCTATTTTGAGTATTAACGTCCTTTTTCCTCTTTCTTTTACTACTCATTGCACCGAAGAGAATAATACTTTTTGTCCGCGAAAAATGAAACGAATAAATAGAGATTTATACAAGGGACACACAAGAGTTGAACTAACCGCACGGTGTTGCAAACCACGGTTAACAAGTTTTATGTAAGTTATTTCACGACCCTATTTAGATGGCTTTATGGGCTGAAAATGATGATGTCATGCCTGAATTGTGAAAGTCAACTTTGATAGTGCGTGTTAACGTATAGTTGAGCATATAGTTTGCATTCCTCATGGTAGTTGGCAAAATTTTAACCTTCTGCATGCCTTTGCACCGACAAACAAAACTGTGACGGAAAGAATACAAAATCGTATCGAAGTATCTCAAACACCATATCATTTTAAAACGGCTATTTTATTAAAAAAGTAGAAAACCCCATATTAAAGTAAATCACAACAATCTTATTTGGATCTGAGTGAGTATGTAGACATTCAAGGAATAAAACTTTGTAAGTAAGAGAATAGACGGAATTTATATGTGTATCAAAGTACCATCGATAATCACTCCCAGGTATTTCAAGTTATTTTGAATTTTAAGATTGGCACCATCCATCCTTGGAGCAAAATTTACATGTATATTTCCGGGCCGAGAAATCATCACACATTTTTTTAGCTCCGTTTACTTCAAAATTAACCACATTAAAGAAATTATTCAATAACAAAGGGCTAGTGATTGAGCTCTGACGTAAACCACTGCGTACCTTGAATGCCTTAATTTCATAGCATCCGCAGCTACAAGTTGTAAGCAATCCGAGAGGCACGACTCTACGACGGCAGCAGCTGACTTCAAAAATTTAAAGCCCAGGAAGAATTTTTTCAAAATATTTGCGGCATTCTATCAAAGGCCTTAGCTAGATCCGGCGACTATAACAACGGCATACATTCCTGGCGCATTAGACATGACTCCATCAAATGCCATTAGGAGTTTGAGCCTGTTTATCCCACGAAAGTAGTGCAGCCCGTAACAGCCGTTTAAGCTAACCGGATTTCAGCCTGTTTTTCAAATGACTATTGAGAAAATGTTGATTGATAGCATTTATCTCAACTGTGTCTAGGTTTATATCTTTCGAGTCTTTGAATACTAGTTGACGTAATTTCCGTCACACTTACTTATTATTTGAACATCTGAAAGTTAGTGCATATTTCTTCTGATTTTCTAATTGCATTTTTGGCTTTATTCATCTCGTTACACAATTCTCCAAAAGTGATCATCCTTCTCATGATAATAAATTAGATTAAGCAAAGAGATATGAAATTTGATTTCACTACAATTGCACCAAGACATAAAACCATAAATTTAGGTATAGTAAGATGCTTGTAAAATTGTATTTAAATAGAATATTTGTGAAAAGTAGAGTTAGTCTGGCAAGAACGTAGAAGTTGAGAGTACGGCCGCAAAAAAATTGTAAATAAATGATTCTACTGTTAGGGAATATAATATATAACTTTGAAGTGTATTTCTCTTGATCAAAATATCCACGATCTAGTGATACGGACTGTATCTAGTAAAAGCGAATTTCATAACAATATCATAATGGATAAGTAGGCTGTCATGAACAATCAATATATTTAGCCGATGACAGAAGTAAAACCTCAAGGCATATTTTTACGGCTTAAATGAATTGCAATGAAAATCACCCATGACAATAACATTAGAGTATTTGATTGAAATATCTTTGATTGCATATTTAAGCGAGTAGACATCGTCCCATGGCAAATAATTGCCAATTAGCAGTTTACGCCCTGATACTTCAACAAATAAGTTTTCCATCAATGAAATTCCCATAAGCAACATAAAACCTGCGTCTATTTGAAATGCATAAAGCTACACCCTCACTTCTCGTATTGAATTTGTTATTGTGGCACAGTTTAACCGAAGTGTACCTTTCATCTGTGAGAAACTATTTTTCATTCATATTTCATTCATATTTTTCATCATTTCACCCACACAGTTATCGCAACTAGTACACAGTTATTATTCTGGCTTTAGCGTAGAAAGGCAATTGCTTCTTCGATTTTTATGGGAGCCCTTACACAAAGTTTAACTCGAGGAAAATACAACTGTGGTCCAGATTTGCTACGGGTAATAAGGTAATGTTACAGATTAATTTCCATTAATTTCCATTTCCGTTAAAAATTTTTGGCATGTGAAGGTGTTCTTTTCATGGGAACAATTATATACATATTCAATAAACTATTGCCCCTAATTCAAAAGTTTAGTTTTGGTTTGGAAAGAATGTATATTAGATAGCGCTACTGAGACTGAGAAGTAGAATCGCTTATACGCACACAGAAAGCATAGGAACAAATACGATATGTTATACTCTTGGAAACCTAGGCGTACAAACAGAGCGAAAACGTAAATGAGTTGCTAGCGCGACAAAAGAAGTGCTTCAAAGAATTCACGCAATTAACATGTTAAAACCTTGGTTCACCATCTCTCACTTTTATGCAACCACCACAAACCCATTAAAACTTGCACCGCTAATTCTTTTAAGGCGAAATAGTTCGCGGCTAACCTTAGAAGAGGAAATCAATTGAAAGGTCCCAAAGGTGTGGAAACTATACAAAAGCTAACCCTGTTCGCCACGATCATATTAGCCCGCGGTTTTTAAAAGTTATTCTCTCAAGCGTCAAATTAGCATTGTCTGGCCTTCCAAATCATATAAAAATAACATAAATACTTCGCGTCTGTCGGAAACTTTCTAGGGGCCTTGA